AAACACTTTAGAAAACTGATTCGGGCCGAATCTGCACTAAACTTGTAGCCAATCAGCAATAAGGGGCGTGTCTACTCGTGATGTGGAGGAGAGCACGTTCAGTGCACGGGACGGACATTAGCCGAGCCGAGCGACAGAAAGATAGAGATGGCGGATAAAAAACAAAAGAGGAAAACGTCTGCGGAACGATAAGGCAAGAAGTAGGACCTGTGTAAATATCGGATCAGCTTTCCAGCGCTGGAGATAACTCAAGGAGCGGAGGCCTGCGATCGGACTCCGAGGTTGCGTTGTTTCTTCTCAATAGGTGAGTAACACCATGTTACGACAACAGCTAAAGTCTGCCTACACTGGACGCGATCAAACAACCGTTGAAAACCATTTGAAATTTGTGTCAGCACGTCATAAATAGAACCCGGCAGCAGTTTTCTGTCGGGGATTTGTTGCACCACGCCGCTCATGTCCGTAGACACTAATCGTTGCCTGGGATGCGTACGTATATGTGGGGTGGAGCTATCAAAATAGGGGCAAGACCCTTTTGGGGTAGGGGCGTGTTTGTTTTGGTGATTTCAAATATCAACATTGGCTACCAGAAATCACTTACTCTGCCTTTAAATAATCAGGTCTTCACTTTAAGCTTTCATTTAGTGATGAGTGAGTTTTTGCTAGAAAAAGAGCAGGAGAAAAACTGTGAAAGTGTCTCAGTCAAAAGCTGTGAAAAGAGTGACACTTTATCTCACAGAGTATGATGCAGCCTGCAGAAGTGACATGCATGGTTGTTTATCCACACCAGAACTACTGACTCCTAGCCAAAGCACAATAAACTCATTTAACCTCTTCCAGAGCCCATACAGGTGCATCTCAATAAATTAGAATGTCGTGGAAAAGTTAATTTATTTCAGTAATTCAACTCAAATTGTGAAACTCATGTATTAAATTCAATGCACACAGACTGAAGTAGTTTAAGTCTTTGGTTCTTTTAATTGTGATGATTTTGGGTCACATTTAACAAAAACCCACCAATTCACTATCTCAACAAATTAGAATACTTCATAAGTCCAATAAAAAAAATTTTTTAGTGAATTGTTGTTGGCCTGAAAGTATGTTCATTTACTGTACATGTACTCAATACTTGGTAGGGGCTCCTTTTGCTTTAATTACTGCCTCAATTCGGCGTGGCATGGAGGTGATCAGTTTGTGGCACTGCTGAGGTGGTATGGAAGCCCAGGTTGCTTTGATAGCGGCCTTCAGCTCATCTGCATTGTTGGGTCTGGTGGAATTCACACACCACTGTGTGATGTAATACAAAAACCTGAAACTGAGGATGCTACCTTGCTAGGCTTTTTTTTTTAACATGACAATAAAGATATTCATTCTCTTGAGTTGAAAATCCTTCAGGGGACATGTATTTCACTCAATCTTAACACTCTTGAGCAGCTGTGAGAGATTCTGTAGAGATGAGCTGAGCAACACTCCCCATTAAAGATCAGAGCATTTAAGGAGGTCGTCCTCCAGGAGTTAAACAGCACAGATGGGAAAATTTGTCATGAACTTGTACACTCGGTGCCAAGAAGGGTCAGAGCAGTGTACTTAGAGTTATGGAGGACATATTAAGTTCTAGAATATCGCACTTGGTTGAATTAAATCTAGGTTGTACTCAATTCTGCAATCCTTCATTTAAACAAAAATTGGCTGTTTCTTATTTTACAGATATTAATGGCATGTATTTCTCTGTTTTTATTAAGAATGTTTAATACATTTCAATTTTGCCATCTTTCTATGAATTATATTAGTGATCATTAAGAAAATACATCTTTTATATTTAATCAGAGGGGGTGTACTCATTTATGCTGTGCACTGTATATTTATGTGTGTATGGTTGTACATTACACATGTAGTTTTTTTTGTGTTTGGCTTAGTGTTATGTTAGAATAATTTTATTCTTAAACCATTTGTTCTTTAATATTTTGAATTGTTTTTAGCTTTATTTTTTGTTTTTCATTTAAATGTTAAGTTATGCATTTGTCATTTTTATTTAATTTCTTTATTTTTAAAATGTGAATAAGTAGTATTTATAAAGTTTTAGCTTTTAGTTTTGGATCTGTTTTTAGTTGTTTTAATACTACAATTGATTGGTTCTGTTGTCCTCATTTCTAAGTCGCTTTGGATAAAAGCGTCTGCTAAATGACTAAATAAATAAAATAAATATATACACACATACAGGTGCATCTCAATAAATTAGAATGTCGTGGAAAAGTTCATTTATTTCAGTAATTCAACTCAAATTGTGAAACTGGTGTATGCCTGATTGGCATGTCACCATATTCTAATTTGTTGAGATAGTGAATTGGTGGGTTTTCGTTAAATGTGAGCCAAAATCATCAAAATTAAAAGAACCAAAGACTTAAACTACTTCAGTCTGTATGCATTGAATTTATTTAATACACAAGTTTCACAATTTGAGTTGAATTACTGAAATAAATGAACTTTTCCACGACATTCTAATTTATTGAGATGCACCTGTGTATGTATATATATAAATAAAAGATGCATTAATGTTAACCAGTTGAACCTTAAGTTACAAGTTTTGTTCCTTTGCTATGCTAGAATGTATCCTAGATGTGGTTTTCATTAAAAATATCATGGTATTTGTAGACTAACCTCCATTGAGCTAAAATTAGCTCTTTGCTCTCTGAATATCCTGTCAGATTTGTCCTAACCTCTGACTACACCAGTGGAGTGGAGGATATTAGGTTGCTTGTTATGATATAGTGTTTCTTGCACCCTGGTTCTATTTTCATCGCTCTTTTGTTGCTATGCGGGTCCAGTGGCCCAAATTGTCAATGGGTGTGGCAGAATGCTAGATCTTTTTCAAGCCTTCAAATTTAGCTCACAGCAATAAATGTGTGTATGCCGTTTCATAATGTTTTGTCTCCTCTGTCTAGCTAAGCCTCCGGTCGTGCAAAGGGACGAGGATTTTGAGGGCGCTCAGTGGAACTGTGAAAGCTGCACTTTTCTTAACCACCCTGCGCTGCACCGCTGCGAACAGTGCGAGATGCCACGCAACACTTGAGCCGGCTTTACCGCAGCCTTTCCAGACAGGCCATGAACCTCACTCTTCCTACTAATCTTCTGTTCCATCATGCAATGTTCAAGTCCCACCTATCATTCGACGATTTTTGTCCCTTGTGCCCTCAGCTTCACCCAGCAGTAACTGAGCCGTACTCCAGAGAAGAGACAACTACTCTAGTAAAATATTATCCAATCAGACCCACCCTGTGTTTCCTCTTGAGGAGCTTCCTGCACTTGTATTTACTTTTTTCTACTGAAAGTTGCTTTAAAAGAGGAAGTAGGGTGACTTGACTTCACAGAAACAAGGGATTGATTGGCGTTGGAGTGGACCAAGAAGGTGTGGTTTTAGGAGAGGGTGGAGCTTCCAGATGTGGCGGAGGTGTGGTTTACCAAGCTACCATTCCAAGCAGAATAAGACTGCCGCGTTTACACGGAAAAAGCCCAAACAATCCCGCGTGCAGGGCTTCTCTTACAACACGTTCAATATATTGAGATAAGCAGGGGCTGAATAATTTTAATGTAGACTTTACACTGTATGTGCTCACTATGAGCTCTTCTCATGAATGAAGAACACTACAAGACCTGCATATGAACCTATACCTGGTACTTTTATGCATATGCCACACTGTATTCTAAGATGTCGATTTCCTGTGCAAATGCCTCAAATTGCTGTACTTAATAAAGCATCTGATTCTATGTGACTATATGCTGATGCTGAGATCTTTCAGATGTAAAACCATGAGCGTAGCACATTGTTCTTTTTATGTTTATTTGGTTAGTATATAAATTAGTACAGTATGTCAACTGCATTGAGGACAGAAAAATCCCAACAATCTCTCAAACACACACTCAAATGATACATGAGCCCTCATTCAGACACACCAACATGCGCACAACAGACTCACAGTGCTAAAAAACAACCCTACAGTCTGCCTTTAACTACCTGTATGAATACTTATGCAAAAGACTAATAATCACCCCAGATACCAGTCAAAAAGCTAGTCTATATGCAAGCCTTGGTTACACCACAAGACCTAGGTTTTCTACAATGCAAAGTATATTCTATCAAATCCCTTTTTATCTGAATATGCTGATTTTTCGATGTATACAAAGTAACTGGTGACAATTCATGTGCTATGTACATGATCTGTGCTTAAAGTAACATCTGTCTCCATTTCTTAGCATTTTATGAGAGCAATTATACTTTGATGCACATCTATGGATATAGGTGTGGTCACATTTACGGTTGTATGGCAAATTTTTGCATTCGAAATAGTCATTTCATTAGGGATCCAAGCAAAGGGGAATTTCATATGAGGATGAAATATTTTGCAATATGTTCAAATTGGTCACGTGAATTCATCACGTTGACCAACAAAGTTGCTTGGTTTAAAGGGTTAGTTCACCCAAAAATGAAAATTAGCCCATAAATTACTCACCCTCAAGTCATCCTAGGTGTATATGACTTTCATCTTTCAGACGAATCCAGTCGGAGTTATATAAAAAATTGTCTTTGATCTTTCAAGCTGTTTCATGGCACTCAGCAGGTGCTGCATGCATCAGTCCAAAAGGAGTTAAATAAAAAGCGCCCATCCATAAAAAAGTGTCTCACACGGCTCCGCAGCGCTGAACTCGTACGTCATCCGCCCGGAGCTGCTTCCGTGTACAATTGTTGGCGCAAGCTACATTAAAGTGATTATTACGTTTTGAATATGGATATTTTTCTTACAAAAATGCATCGATTCACTACAGAAGACCTCTGTTCACCCCCCGGAGCCTTGTGAGACACTTTTCTTTTATATAGATGGGCGCTTTTTATTTAACTTCTTTTGGATTGATGCATGCGACACCCGCTGAGTCCCATGAAACAGCTTGAAAGATCAAAGGCAATTTTTAATATAACTCCGACTGGATTCGTCTGAAAGAAGAAAGTCATGGGTTGGGTGAAAGTTGGGTGAACTAACCCTTTAAGTGACTTCTGTGTGAGTTGTGCTCCACATATCACTTTACTATTGTCAATTGATCTTTGAAAGTTCTCTATTTATTTACCATTACTAATATTTACTGTTGATCAGTGAAATTTTATGGCGAAATCCAGTCATTGCAATAGAAATCCGTGAGATCGGGAATTTTACATCAGTTGCACAGGCAGATTTCACTCGTATTCAAGTTGGTCGCACTCATATTCAACTCCCCACGCTGACCAACAGAAAGCTGCTTGGTTTGAAAGTGACTTAAAGCTATTGACAATGGATCTTTTTTACGCGCAAAATTTCGCGAACTTGGCTGCACCTTAAGGGTAAGGTCTTTGACCAGTTTATAATTACACTGATGACTTTAGTTTGGCTGATTAGTACTTTATTGTACTAATAACATTTTCTTATTTCAAGTTCTCAGGTGCATTCTAAACAGTTTAATTTTAAGTATTAAAACAAATGTGTCTATTATGGCACAATTTTATTCTGTCAGATTTGTAGACTTCTGTCTGCCTTGTTTCAGATCCCACCACAGATGGAGGTTTCCCCACTGATTCCATCACAGACTGGCAGTATTTCTGTGAACATAGGCTGACAATCTGGAGATGAGAGGTGTTAGAATTACATGAGGAGAGAGAGATGACATATGGAAAAAGAATGAGAGTTTGATGATGGGGTTTAATTGCGTGATAGAGTAATCTGAGGGGAAAAGATTCCAAATCGATGTATCTAACAGCTCGGCATTGCCCAGCATTTTAAGGGTCTTTGTGTGTTTGCAAAATCAAGGATCAGTTCCGAATGAACGTTCAGTGCATGAGCTGCTATCACAACAGTGGACAGGACATTGAAGTGCATTGTGGGTGTTGTAGCGTGTTTAGTAGTAATCTTCATAGTTCTTGGGGTTCAGGCAGTAGAGAATCGCTCCGCCAAAGGAGAAGATGGTGGCTCCCCAAGCCAGACCGTAGCCCCAGTTAAACTCGTGGTATATTGTCAAACTGATGGTCTCGATGAACTTGATGGGATACAGCACCAAACAGCAGGCCTGTAGGACCACTGTGAGAAACAGAAGAGCGCTGGCAATGAAATTTGCAATCATCAAAGAGACAAAAGTAAGTTAAGAACATTAAAAGTCTTCTGAATCCACAATGGGCTTTATTCCCTGATAAGCTCCTCAACAAAGTGAGCGACTTCAAAGCGATGTAAAAATCCTCTCAAAAGAGATGCGGAAATGTCTGTTTCAGATATACCATACATCTTTTCCCTGCGATGTGTTCATATCGAGAACAACTGATTACTGAAGCAGCTGTGTGATGTGGCTTGGAAAAATAATGCATTTGCTGTTTCCTGGTCCATTAGCCGCAGCAGTTGCGTCTTGGAGCTAACAACAAATTTTAAATTCATAATACATGAGCCCTAATTTAATGTGCTTGGAAAACAGAAATGGGAAGCCAGCTTACTAATGTCTTCTATGTAAGTGTTTGTGTATGCACAGTTGTGTCTATTTCACCTGCAGCAAAGAGCATAACAGCGACCGGTCGGTAGAAGCGTCTCCTGGAGCGAATGCAGACAGACACCAGGGCCACCAGGAAGGAAAGGAGGATAAGGAATGCTCCACCCAACAACAAGGCCAATGTGGCGATCTGCCAGTCTGCATTAAGTCAATACATAAAAACAATAGATCAGTTTCAAATCGTATTACACTGCATGGATTATATTCATAATTATCACATTTTATCTGGTGAAAGTAAATTCTCATGGGATATACGCCTCATTTACTATACGTGCTAAAGAAACCTTCAAGACTAAACCATCCAAAAATGAAAACTAAAAATTATTTACATACAAAAGTATTCTATGGCTTCAGAAGACCAGTTTTACTTTTATGATGTTTTTGTGTCCTTTTGATGCTTTTTGATTCTCCATTCACTGTAATTACATGGAAAACAGCAATGAACATAGTATTCAGAAATTCTCCTTTTGTGGTCCTTAAAAGCCAATTAAGGATGAGTGGTAACACTTTACAATAAGGTCCCATTAGTTATCATTAGTTAATGCACTAAAAGGTTTACTCCAGTCTTTTAAATAATATTATCAGACTTCTGGTTTTATGATTAATAAATACTTTAGAAGTCATTTTCATTGTTAGTTTACGTTAACTTATGTAGTTAACTAATGGAGCCTTATTTTAAAGTGTTACCAGACCAGTAAATAATGACAGAATTGTCATATTTTTGTAAACGATTCCTTTAACAGACTAACACGCTGAAAAGTCAATACCGGTCTCTTTCAAAAGTATTCTATGGCTTCAGAAGACCAGTTTTACTTTTATGATGTTTTTGTGTCCTTTTGATGCTTTTTGATTCTCCATTCACTGTAATTACATGGAAAACAGCAATGAACATAGTATTCAGAAATTCTCCTTTTGTGGTCCTTAAAAGCCAATTAAGGATGAGTGGTAACACTTTACAATAAGGTCCCATTAGTTATCATTAGTTAATGCACTAAAATGTTTACTCCGGTCTTTTAAATAATATTATCAGACTTCTGGTTTTATGATTAATAAATACTTTAGAAGTCATTTTCATTGTTAGTTTACGTTAACTTATGTAGTTAACTAATGGAGCCTTATTTTAAAGTGTTACCAGACCAGTAAATAATGACAGAATTGTCATATTTTTGTAAACGATTCCTTTAACAGACTAACACGCTGAAAAGTCAATACACACATGCCTACAGAATGGCTGACACGAACACTCACATCTTGGGGTTTGTGTAACTGAAAGAAAACCTCTACGGGCAGCAGAGAGCTTATCGATAATTCTGGTGGGCTAAATGGGACATCACGTAATGTATTCCCCCCTCCCTTTCTCTCTTCTTCAGTCCCTCTTATTTCTGCTTTTCATTCAAGCACTCTGAGACACTCAGCTAGAGTAGGGCCCAGAAATAGCACTGAATCCTCCATGGAACGCGGGAGTGAGGGAGGGGGCAAAGAGAAAAAGACAGAGAGGAGGTACCTGACACAGTATGCCTGCTTCCATATCTGAAGACATGAGAGTATATGTGTGGAATCTCACATGCACTTTGGGACGACTCCTGAGGAATCTCATTAGGAAGGCAAAAGGGATACGGATGATCTCGGAGGACTGACTGGCCAAGTTTTTTTAAGCTACGGAGGCTGAGGGAGTAATTTTTTTCTAATTTGTCATATTAATTATTTCTAACTCGGCATGTCAAATTCTTCTAATTATTTAATAGTAAGTAGCTTACATTTAGAGCTAAATATGGTTCATCAAAAAAAAAAAAGAAGATCCAAACAAAGCCACATTTTCATTTTTGTATAAATCAAAACTTAAAATTCAGTGACTTGTTTTGAATCAAGAATGAATCCGTGTTTTTCATCAGTTGAGTGAATAATTAAATGACTCACTCATAAGGACAGTTATTTGTTTTGAATCACGAATGGGGAAGTCGTGGCCTAATGGTTAGAGAGTCGGACTCAGAACCCAAAGGTTGTGGGTTCGAGTCTCGCACTGGCAGGGATTGTAGGTGGGGGGAGTGAATGTACAGCACTCTTTCCCACCTTCAATACCATGACTGAGGTGTCCTTGAGCAAGGCACCGAACCCCCAACTGCTCCCCGGGTGCTGCAGCATAAATGGCTGCCCACTGCTCCGGATGTTTGTTCACGGTGTGTGTGTTCACTGCTGTGTGTGTGCACTTTGGATGGGATAAACGCAGAGCACTAATTCTGAGTATGGGTCACCATACTTGGCCACATGTCATGTCACTTTTAATGAACAAATCAGTTAAGTGAATGATACAATGACTTCAAGGACTTGTGTTGAATCATAAATGAATGGCAGTGTCCCAAATGTGGACTTGCAATGACCGGTGGGCCGACAGTCAAAGTGGTGTTACAAATTCCTACCCGACAGTCAAAGCAGTGTTATGTCACAAAAGTGTGGACTTAGAGGAAGACCGCGAGGATTTGGGGTGCCATTTGGGACAAGGCCAATCAGTGTTTGTGAACATATTGTTTGAATAAATTATTCAATGACTCACACGTAAAGACAGTCACTTGTTCCGTTCCTGAATCAATCAGTGTTCATGAACAAATCAGTTGAGTTAAAGATTCAGTGACTCCCTTAAAAGGCCAGTCATCTGTTATGAATCATAAATGAATTGATCTGAATGAATCAGTTGAGTAAATGATTCAATGACTCACTTGGAATGGACAGCAACTTGTTTAGTTTCTAAATGAAACATTGTTTTTAACAAATCGGTTGAATGAATAGTTCAGAGACTCATAAAGACTGGTGCATCATTGTAACTTGCAGAAAGGCTTACAGAAAGCACAAACAAACATTTTACTTCCAGCATGTCTGTTTTTTTGGTTGTTTTTTCCCTCAGTATGGGGAATTTGGGGAATTTTAAAGATGACTATTAAACAACAACAACAAAAAGAATAAGATATCTGTTTTCATTCACTTTCTGTTATTCAGGGGTTAAGCAAACAATCTATTGCAACACCACCCATTATAAATAAAAGCATAGACCGTGTGTTTGCACTGTTACACAAGTTACAAAAACAAGAACGCTACAGGAACCACTGGTCATTAATAATCTAAAGGGTTTGTTGTTTTAGGGTTGAAAAAATCTGACCTGTCTTTTATTACTATATAAAAGAGGCCAACAACAGCAAACTAGGACATTCTGACTGAGCATCTTCTCCTGCATTATGTTCACAAACAAGTTTCTCAAGAGTTACTTTGGAAATGTAGTTAAATTGCTGAGATTATATACATTAGAAACAAAGACCATGATAATGTTTTTAGTCATCATGTGATAAATGATTCAATTACTGAACCTGAGAAAGGACTCAAAACATTTCATAAGACATTGATGGCTGTTTGTTTAAATAAAACCATAAAAGCCCTGGATCCTGTTGCAGGGTTTTGTTATTACACAGTGATGTCTGTAAATAGAAACATTTTCATCAGCTTTGGAAAATGATCTATAATTTTCTCTGCTGGGAAATAATCATTTCTAGCACTAAATCATGTCAAAACATCATTTTCAGAAATGGCCGAGAGCTGCTCTGGGCCATTTCAGCTCCATTCCACCGTACTATAGTTTCAAACATAAACAAAGCCTTTTTACCAAATAAAGTTTATGATTCAGCATAATAGCCATGTCTGTCACCGCAGGAAGTTGGAGAGAGATTAATGAAAACTGCTGATTATTTGCTTCCATATAAAAACTAAATTCTGACACCTCGACCTCCGACCCCTCTGGAGAGCCACCAAAAGCCTGGAAATCATCAATGAAAGTGTCTTTCTGCCATCTGGGGGAAAAGATTTTGAGTTTATGTAACCTTGAGGTCTACGTCTGAGGGGTCTCCGGCAGAATGGAGCTTATCCAAAACCCCCTGCAGGACTACAGATGGAAATGAGGATATGAGATAAAAATCAAAACATTCATTACTGTAATCTGTTTTTCAGCAAGCAAGTGCCTCTTGGCTAGTTCTTTCAATCTGATACCATGAAGAGGGGAGAAAGAAGTCCAATGTCATAGACTGAATCACGTCAATAAGACACAGTGTCTCCAGATTCCTCGCCATCCACAGACGGGAAGAGAAATCGGTGTATACTTTGCGCCGCGGACTCCACATTGAACCGCTGCCTCTTCTCCAGTCGAGCATAACATTAGCACAAAAAGACTCTCACACACTTTCGCCACATTCCTGTTGTTCGCGATTATCTCTCCCCGAGAGCTTTCACAACCTCAGATTTCTGCTGAATGTGTACATGTAAAAGGGAGTGTGTTTATGTTAACATAACTATGTTGTTAAATTGACAGAGATAAACTTAAAATGATACCCTGGTGTCGATAAAAGGTTAGCAAGCAAATATGCCTGTATATAGCAGGCTGTGGAGTCAGCCGGTAATTGCGAAGCTAATGAGATTTAGTTTAATGCACAGTGCATGACACAAAGGAAACACAGAGGAAATGGAGTGCCTGATTACAGAAAACCCAAAATCAATAATGTGCTGCAGAGGGAAGCCATTCACCCAGGCCGCTCCTTTGGTATTTCGACTAGAGCTTCATCATGACTTTATATGGAATCAAACAGTGCTTCTTAAAAATGACGGGACAAGGTCCAGAGCCAAATAAATTATGATTGCAAACCAGAGCTAAAATAACATCTTAAATCTTAACTGCGTTTGGCTATCCGAGACTTAACTATTAAAAAAAAAAGTGGCACCAAATAGCTCTACCAACATACAAGAATATGGAGGGGGAAGTGCCCCCAAACTGCGGTTTATTCGCTAGTAAACCTTCACAGATGCCAAAAAGGAAGTTTCTTTTTCAGGGCCAAATGACATTTCTAGAATGCAGCACTTGTTTCCTTGGTAACTAATCTGTCCACATTAGGGCCTCTAGGGAGCTCTCCTCTCAAACTTAACCTCACTCCTCGGTCGGTGAGGAGACCTTAACAAAGGCTCATTTTGTAGACAACAAAAGCAGAACGAAACCCCAGCTGGACCGCTGATTCCATCACACATTCCCACATCATCCAAAAGCCCTTCCACCAAACAAGCTGTGAATAAAATACAGCGTCCTAGTAAATGTTAAGGATCGATATCAATTAATTAATGAAGCATTCTTCAAAACATTGTCTATGTAATTAGATTAATCCCGACTTGCTGTATAGGCTGGAGAGTCTTTTTATTAAACAGGACGAATTCAAGTGATACTAACTAATATCACTAGCACTTATTTTTAAGTATAGTCCCTAAAAATAAGTCCTAGTGATACTAATAGCAAATAATCCAACAGTAACTAGTATATTTGTATCTATATATTATATGTGCTTACTCATTACATATAGTAATTATTAACTATTAGAATTTATTATTCTAATAGTTGGTGACCTATTAATATTTTTTACTTAACTAGAAAAAAGCAACTAAAATAAGGAATGTAACAAGTAACAACTGGGATAGATCTCGAATTACATTGGATATAGGCTATTTAAAAAGTAGGCTACTAAAGTTGAAATCGATACAAGAAACATTATAATACATACTAATTAAAAGACTAAATGTGTACAAACAACGTGTCATCTCTGTTTTAATCTGACAAAGAAATGTAAAACGCAAATTGTTGACTGTTTTCTCAGTATTTAGAAAGAGCTGGTTAAGCATGAGCTGAACAATGAGTGATAATGATGCGCTTGGGAGCGAAGGGCCCCTTTTGTTATCTCATAAATCAAATATGTACCTCCAGGGCCATGTTGCAGAGCTCACTAAAGTTAAAGAGACTGCGTCCTTTTTTTTTTGTTTCCCCCGAATCTTAAAATATGTATGTGCAGCTCATTCTGTTTGAACATTGTTTATTGCAAAGTTACAAAAGTAGCGGCTCTCACCGGTCCCTTTCTGCCCCAGCGTGCTATCGCACTGCCAGTCCGCGGAGGCAGCGTGCTTCCTGCACGACTCCCACAGGGACAGGTGGTACTGGTCATCCGCGGTGACCCACGCCGGACTCAGCACGGCCCCAACATCCAGGCACAGCGCGAGGAAAATACACACCAGACCCACCAACTTCAGGGGCGTCAACGCCGACACGCGCACTTCCTCCGCTCCGCTCATGGATGAGGCCATGTCGGCTGGATGCGCCGGTGATGTGGAGCGATGTTGCGCTGCGTCGCGCAGAAGCCAGGAACGATGATCCCAGGCAATGTTTTTGGATCCGTATTCGCGGTCAGTGTTTTGCAGATTGTGGAGCAGCTGCGCGAGAGTAGCAGCTGCCCTCGCGCTCCTGTGAACGCGACTACACTGCACATTATTGAAAAAATCTCTGCTGCACCTGCAGGGTCCTAGTGCCTAGCTAGAACTCCCCGTTCACAAACCCGCTCTGAACGATGCGTTTACGAACAGAAATGAAACGGTCCGAGCGGAGTGAACAATTCACAAACATATTGAACCGAGTTGTCCCAGACGCAATAAGCCTGAGGATTTGATTGATAGAGCAAAACATAAATTGCTTTAATAGCCAAACAAATTAAAATGATAAAAATAGAATATGTATATGTGATTAAAAAAATAGATTTGTTTTTTTCGTTTGTTTATTTATTTTTTGAAAAAACTTTTTTCATTCGAGAAGAGATACATTATTGTAAATACAAATTATTTTTAGGTTACTGTATGCTTTTTATGAGGTGAATCATGGCTTCAGCAAAACAAACTGGGACATTTAAAGACAATAAATATGCTTATTAATAATACTTAATAGTAATAAAACATAATAAACATGTGCCGAGAGATAGCTGCGGTTTAGAGCATGTTAATAAGCCTATGTAACCTGGAAGGAACCGTGATAACTTGTAAAAATAATCACTGAATCGTTTTCTTGACGCGGACTGTTCAAAAGAATAGATTTGCGGAAATGAGTCGGACATCCCGTCACGAGGAAAATACACACCAGACCCACCAACTTCAGGGGCGTCAACGCCGACACGCGCACTTCCTCCGCTCCGCTCATGGATGAGGCCATGTCGGCTGGATGCGCCGGTGATGTGGAGCGATGTTGCGCTGCGTCGCGCAGAAGCCAGGAACGATGATCCCAGGCAATGTTTTTGGATCCGTATTCGCGGTCAGTGTTTTGCAGATTGTGGAGCAGCTGCGCGAGAGGGACGCTGTAGCAGCTGCCCTCGCGCTCCTGTGAACGCGACTACACTGCACATTATTGAAAAAATCTCTGCTGCACCTGCAGGGTCCTAGTGCCTAGCTAGAACTCCCCGTTCACAAACCCGGTCTGAACGATGCGTTTACGAACAGAAATGAAACGGTCCGAGCGGAGTGAACAATTCACAAACATATTGAACCGAGTTGTCCCAGACGCAATAAGCCTGAGGATTTGATTGATAGAGCAAAACATAAATTGCTTTAATAGCCAAACAAATTAAAATGATAAAAATAGAATATGTATATGTGATTAAAAAAATAGATTTGTTTTTTTCGTTTGTTTATTTATTTTTTGAAAAAACTTTTTTCATTCGAGAAGAGATACATTATTGTAAATACAAATTATTTTTAGGTTACTGTATGCTTTTTATGAGGTGAATCATGGCTTCAGCAAAACAAACTGGGACATTTAAAGACAATAAATATGCTTATTAATAATACTTAATAGTAATAAAACATAATAAACATGTGCCGAGAGATAGCTGCGGTTTAGAGCATGTTAATAAGCCTATGTAACCTGGAAGGAACCGTGATAACTTGTAAAAATAATCACTGAATCGTTTTCTTGACGCGGACTGTTCAAAAGAATAGATTTGCGGAAATGAGTCGGACATCCCGTCACTGCTTCTCATCTGGCGTTTAGATGGTGGCATATTTCTCTCACACGCTTTTCCCTCATTTGCTATTTTCTCCCATTCTCCGTTTTCTTTGATCTGTGCTATGTGCTCTCACAAACACGCACATAGAGCAATGTGTCTTATTTCAAACAGATAATGAATCGTCTTTCTCAGAATAATTAGAGACACATTGAGTGCTTATATGAATGCTATCCAAACGTTTTGTGGGAAAGGGAAAATACTTGAATATTTCATCAGAAAATTGACTGGTGTATGATGTAACCTATCTAAAACTGTTAATTTAAAAAAGTAGGCCTATTATTTAGATAAATGCATATCATTAGTAGAGCAGCATGAATCCCTACATGAAATTCACTTACATATAAGTCAAAAGACAGATGAATCAGTATCCTCCATTTAGTGTTGTTATATGTAAGGTTATGGTCAACATGCATTCAGCCTGAAAAGCTACATTGTTCATGATTAGAAAGTCTGTCAACAAAGGACACCTGAAATTTCATAGCTTGGCCTTGCTAACAAAAGTATCTAACAGAAAAAGATAACACCCTCAATACATTCTTTGTTCAGTTCACAAGATATACACTTTCATTCTTCCTTAACTCCACTGTGAATTAACACAGCAAGACTAAACATCAAATTCTATTAGGCTACTGTTTTCAGTTCATCACAAATTAGCTTTTCATGTGGAGTAATGAATAATTCAAATTCAAATTAATGATTGTTGTTTAACAGGTCAAAAATACTGGTTTGCCTTGAAGGTAAAGAACAAATTCAGAATGTAATAGACTGGCAGTCTCTAGTTGCCTGCAGGCATTTTTTCCCCCCTGCAAAGACACCTTTTGTTGTTGTTGTTGTTTTTTATCATCAAAGGTTCTGTGAAAGAGACAGGAATAATGTGAGATACTGAGTGTGTGTGTGTGTGCACTGGTTTAGGTGGTTTATGAGGACACAAATTTGTATAATGACATGGGTATGACACAGGTATTACAATATGATGGTGGTTTTTTGAGGACACTACCTGTGTCCCCGTAATTCAAAAGGCTTTAAAAACATACTAAATGGTGTTTTTTTTTAAATGCACAAAGTTTTCTGTGAGGGGTAGGTTTAGGTGTAGGGTTGGTGTGGGTGATAGAAAATACAGTTTGTATAGTATAAAATCCATTACGCCTATGGAGAGTCCCCATAAACCACCAATACCAACATGCGCATGTGTGTGTGTGTGTGTGTGTGTGTGTGTGTGTATTGCGTTCTTCTGCCTGTTTCAGAAATGAATATGTATAGTATAGGGGTTATATGCGCAACCGACTTCCGTTTTCTGTTTACCTGGTCTCGCCGCTTCCGGTTCAAGGACTTTGCATACACTCTTAAAAATATCAAAAGGTTCTTCAAGCGAGGCCATAGAAGAACCATTTTTGGTTCCACAAAGAACCATTCAGTCAAAGGTTCTTTAAAGAACCATCTCTTTCTTAACTTTTTTATAATCTGAAGAACCTTCTTTCGCCACAAAGAACCATTTGTGAAACAAAGGTTCTTCAGATGTTAAAGGTTCTTTATGGAACCATTTAGATAAAAAGGTTCTTCTATGGCATCGTGAAGCACCTTTATTTTTAAGAGTGTATGCTTCGTTAAATAAGAAGCAGTTTTACTCAAGATGCCTAGTAGATACCAAAGATTGTCATAACCAATGTCCATCACATATGCGGAATGATACCTAAAAGTTTTTTATTTTTATTCTATTCACTAACATTTATATAAACATTTTTTTAATAAAACTTCAATAAAAACAGCTAGCTAGTTTAACTGATTATCTTAAAAGTCCATAGATATCGCTATTATTTATTACAGCTGTTAGCACGTTCTACGGAAGCGATGAGATGTTTTCCAGGTTTGGTCAGGTGACGTTCGACATATACTCTATTGCAGTGGTTCTCAAACCTCTCCATGCACCCCCTGCACTGCACGTTTTGTATGTCTCCATACTGTATATCTGACACACCCACTTCAGGTCTTGCAGTCTCCACTAATGAGCTGATGAGTTGAATCAGGTGTGATAGATGAGGGAGACATACAACATGTGCAGGGCTGGGGGGACTCCAGGACAGGTTTGAGAACCACTGACCCTATTGAACTGATTTTCAAGGCCATTTTTGCATGTTAGCATTATACGGGTTTGGGTCGTTGTGATTGTACTGCGTTACATCATTTTTCCCACCGTGTCCAATACTAAATTCAGTGCGACACACTTTGCAAAAAGCGTGGGAATTGTCGATGCTGCTTCGCGATAAGAAATTAAATTCCTCAGTCCAGTTGTTTTTAACCCATTTTGTGCCCACATTTTTCTGAATGGTTTCATGCATATAGTCATATTAATAGTGTCCTATGTGAACATGTTCTGCATTTATTTTCCCCAGGTTTTATTTATTTTTTCTTGAAAATCGTATTTGAATGTGCGGCAACTATAGTGGCCGGTGGGCAAATATGTTGTATGCATCCCTTCAAATTTGAATAGGAGGAGAGCATTTGGCATCTAACTCAAAATAACTGCTTTCAACAGATCAATCTTTATTCATAAACAAATTTATTATGCATAAAAGTCGAAGAACATTCGATGCAAACCCCCAAAAAGTTGCATCTAGCTTATAATCTCTTGAATTAAAAAGTTCTCAAAAAGTTAAATGAAAATAAATAAATAAATAAAAATAAATAGAATGAAGAAAATATTACATCTATATAATAAAAAAGGTATACCTGAAAGAAAATTACGCATTTAACTGTTTGGTTACCAACATTCTGCAAAATGTCTTCTTTTGTGCTCAACAGAAGAAAGAATCTCATAGGTTTGCTACTTGAGGGTGACTAAATAATGACACAATTTCTATTTTTGGGTGAACTTTCCCTTACGTAAGCAGTTTTAGTATAAGTAGCCTACAAGTAGCCTACAAGGAGTACTGCGGTGAAGGTTCAAGTAGTTTTATAAATTTACATAAACATATTTGCATACTATACTTAGTGATGTAAATATGTAAAATATCTCATATTTTATGAATAGGCACATATTGATTAGGTCAAATGGATCAACCCTGACAAAAGTCCTTTGATATTCATGAAATTAATGATATTCTTTTTAAAATATGTGATTATTTAAATATTTTTGTTTGCTTGTTTATTTGTTTATAAATTATATTTGTTATTATGTTTATTTGTTTATATATTTTGTTTGTTTGTTTGTGTTTGTTTGTTTATTTACTTATTATTGAACGTGCAGGTATTTTCATTCTTAGAGGTGTGTTAGTTAAATTAAAATAAATAAATAAACTGAATGAAGAAAATAGTACATCTATATAATAAAAAGGTATACCTGAAAGAAATGTTCTACGCATTTTTTTAGGCCCATAGTATTCAATGGCTGACTGTAGTAGGTGATTTAATATAATAATGTAAATGTAAACGCATTACTTGTCTGAATTTCAACATTATAATGGAATCATAAGCTACTAGTCATAAAATGAATTAGGGTCCTTGACCAATAAGAATGAAACACATCCAAACTGGATAAAGGGGCCTCAATATTTGGACCCTTACAAGGCATAATGTCATAAAAGGGAGAAAAAGATAATCTACAGCATAATGCCTTAGCTCTTTATCTTTCCATTCTTCCTTTTGTGTGACTGACGGAAGTTTGTCAACTGCTGCTGTCACTTGAAAACTGGAAATTCCCACCCCCCCATGGCAAAAGCAGACACAGAAGTGGGGCAGTAGAAAGATTGCTCTCTCATCTCCTCCTTTTGACAGATTTATTCCCTATTCCCAAATTAAGGTCTACTGTACAGTAGATATGTCAGTTAAAGCAGCACTTTGTAACTTTTTCTGTTCAAAATTTGCAAAATGTATATAATGAGCGAGTACATCATGAATTCATCTTCCAAACCGAGTTTTTGTCTTATTCCGAATCACTACGGTACACTTATAATAAGTACTTATATTTGGACTATTGTAGCCTGGTCGGGTCGTCACCGCTGCGGAGTAACACATACCTGCGTGAATCGCCATAGACACAAACTTAGAGAAGTAGCTCCGGTTGGAATGTTAATTTAATTAATTCAATTAATTATTAATTTAATGCATTAATGTAGTTCACCTGTTTCTCATATTCACAGTGTTTTCTGGCAAGCCATTATAAAAGCCGATATAAACATGACCAATTCCTTCCTGTCTCATTATCTACAAAAAGGGATTTACAAAAGAACGAATCTTGTTCTGTAATTACACCCCATATCCCACAACCCGCAACCCGCGTTAGCGGTTTACTATTCGGGCTCCTGACTGCGCATGCGCCAAATCAGGACATTGGGACTGTGTTTGTGTTTGGGTGGAACGGGTAAACACAGTTTGTGTATTTTATTAATCTATTTTAAAGTTGCAGCCTTTTCTAATTATTATATACAAAACATATAGCTTCCGGCGCGTCGATGGTTATATTAATTTGTGCCGTTTTTATGTATAAAACCGCGTAGACAAGCTTCAGGCGATAGTCATCACGTAACATGGATTGAATTTGCGACACAATTTTGTATGCCTGTCATGTTCTTTTAACGTCTCTTAGCGGCAGCTTTACGTTTCTGTGTACGTTAGTGAAATAACAGTCGTTTTGTGCTTGTCAAATACGTACCTGTTTTTATTCGTGTGCTGACAATGCTTGACTGTGTCCTGTACATGCTAGTAAGCTAACAGTCCTTGTGCCATACAAAATGATTTGTTTTTGGACAGATTTTTGCTGTTTTATTGTGACTTAACATACGGACACCGCTCTGCAGTGTTTTATGCCGAATTCCATCGAGAATGTTGCTATTGTTTTGACTTTGAGAAACTGAAAATGCATGATCACAAGTGATGTACTGTAATTGGGTGGTTATTGATTAAATCTGTTCGTTTGTTCTGTCGTCCCCTAGGTCCAGTTTCCCTCTTTGAAAAGCTGCAGGAATCATGGGAGCCGGTGAGTCTTTTTAAACTTTAGTTCTGCTAGATACTATGTGATATTTTCAAGGATGTTGTTTTGTGTTTTTTAACGTTGCTTAGATATGTAGTGGGTGTGTATGCTGAGCCAGCTTGTGATCTCTCATGGATGTCACTTAAAGGTGATGCATATTTCTGTCGTAATTTCCAATTGGTATTAGTCAGTCACAGATTATCAACAGGGTCTTGGCCTGCATAGCGCCTCTAATATTCAATCCATGCCTAATCAGATAATTATGGATCACAATGTAGCATCTGATTTATTTCTCCCACTCTCAATGCTGAAGAACAGTAGGCTACTCTTTCACAAGCTCCCTGTGCCTGAGAGGAACCTGCATTTCAACGAAATCACTTTGCCAGTCATAGCCCCCCTCCTTGTTTCTGTGCTGAGTGCTTATTGTTTGTATCTCCGCCAGTGTTCCTGCCAGCAGATGCGGCGCACTCAGTGCTGCGGAGGCTCCCGGGCGTTAACACTGTTTATACAAAATAACAGAACAATGTAAAGTTAGTATGTTTTTACGGAATGTGTGCTCTTGTCGAGTCCAGGGTAGGACTGAATGAATTTATAATGTATTTTTTCCGATGATTGTGATGGGGGGGAAAAAAAAAAATCAATACAGGTTTGATGTGCTTGTTTGTAGATATGCACACATGCATGATTGGCCAAAAATATTTTTGATAATAAGTGTGAATATAATTATTAATATTGTGATTATTATTATTTGTACTTAATAAAAATATTAAATGAAATCAAGAATTTAAGAAAAATAATACAATAATTTTATTTTACAGTGAAACTTAATGACATTCTTTTTCTTCATTTTCAAATGTTAAACTAGTTTTTATTTTGTTGTAAAACCTCAGAGAGCCTTTCAGCTTCTCTTTTGTTGACAACAGATGGTTTGTAAGCACTTTATATTGCTAATCTAATCGCTATTTGCGTTTTAATCCGATTAATTGTGCAAAGTTCAGAATTTAATAATGTCTTCCTTTTGAATAATGAATTAGAATTGGAAGAAGAATTTACTAAATTAAAACCAATTCTGGACAATAAAGTGTTCTTCCACCCCTGTCCACAAAAGTTAATTCTAAAAAAACGGAATACAAATTTCCATAGGTCTGTTGTTCTGTCTGTCCATCGGTCCTTCAAACTTCAGGGCTTTTTAAACTTTCTTCAAAACTTTTAAACAAGCCAAAATTCAAAGTTTGTTTTGACGAACTTTGCTTTACTAGTTACAAATTTATTTTCTCCATAATCTCTTTTTGAAATTAATTCATTTAATTGTAGATTCGACATCATGTTTGCTACCTCAATTCAAATTCAGGAACATAATTGAAATGCAAAATTAATTCTCAGTTCAGTTCTGTATGGTGCATTGCTTTGTTGGTTTGCAAAGTTTTGGTTATTGGTCTTGATGACATTGAAGAGGGTGTGGTTTTTGTTTTCAATACAAGTTTGTTTTGCTTGTTTACATTTATGCAGACAATGTCCTTATCTAATTTTTTTTTTCTCCCTTACAGAGGCGATTCTGGGAGGAGTACCAGCGTGAGAGCAGCCCCAGGCCTGGAGGACTGGAATCCATCGCCGGTGGCATTCATTCTCTGTACCTGATCTTACCCCTGCTGCTGGTTTTGCTGCTCATTGCTGCAGTTTCCATCACGGTGTGGAGATGCCACTCACGCAAAAGATCCCAGCAAAGCCCTGCCATTGGGCGTCCACAAAGAGACACAACCCTATCAGTGGTGTCAATGGACCAGTGGGGTCGGGACTACCATCCTGACATCAGTCCTCACTCAGAGATCAGTGCCAACAGTAGCCCCGCCTACCCTGGTGCTGACCTCACACCTGGGCGGAGCAGTCGGGGGGACCCGCCCCCTTCATACGAGGAAGCTGTGGGCCATACAGATATACAGATTGAAGCGGAGCCTCCACCACAATATGAAGACATCATCAGTAACCATGGTAACACCGTTATCATCTCCCAGGGAAAGTGACAGATCTTCCAGGCATGTTATCCAGCCTCATGTAGGGATGCATTTTGATGCCAATACACCAATACTGTAAACCCTGTTTTTTTCCTTACTTGCTGTGTCTCTCTTCTCTTTTATAGCTAATGTTTTGGCGGGATGTGAACATGTTTTGCCCGTTTATTTTTTTTAGTACTAGAAATATTTTTTTACAACATCACTACTACAGTGACAGGCTTTTCAACTCCAGCACTAGCAAAACGGCTAACTTCTTTACTTAATGTGAAGAGAAAACAACTAATGCAATAACATTATCCTCAGTACTGTTACTCAGATATTGATAAACATTGAATTGCTTTGATTTCAGAGATGTTCGTAGAACACATAACAACATGAATCCTGATCCAAGCCCAAATCCAATGAAGTACCAGAAGTACAATTAGTGAGTAATGTCATCAGCCATTTTTTTTTGAGTTAGTAAGTCCTATGAGTGTCAGAACATCTTAGAAATGAACTGAACATTTGGTCAGTTGTGGCCTCTCATGGGACAATTAAAACATATAATTGTAAATAATCAGATTCAGAGGAAAAAAATGCACAATATTTTCAGGAAGTTTAAATTGTAATGTTTACTGACATTCAAGGTTCATTGCAACCTTTATCAATAGCCATCTAAACTTAGGCTATCTCTGTATAATTGCATAGACGTCACTATGCACTGGACTCACAGCCTCAATGAAATACTGATATTGGGTTGAGTTTTTTTTTTTTCACTAGTAGTTGAGGTGTTAAACACTGTGTTCGATTTAGTTAGCATGTTTTAAACATTTCAGCTGAATGGATAAGTTAACGGTGTGAATTTGCTTATAATACATTGCTGATAACATTGACCAATCAAATCCAATCCTGATTTTATGTAGCATCATGGTTGTTAATGCTGAATCAGCTTAACTGGGCACCTAGTCAACATGTGTGTGGTTTTAACTCCTATTTGGATTTGGGAAAATACAATACTGAAAAGAATAGTTCACCCAAAAATGGAAATTTGCTGAAAATGTACTCCCCCCTCAGGCCATCCAAGATGTAGATGAGTTTGTTTCTTCATTGGAACAGATTTGGAGAAATTTAACATTACATCACTTGCTCACTAATGCATTCTCTGCAGTGAATGGGTGCCATCAGAATGAGAGTCCAAACAGCTGATTAAAAACATCACGATAATCCACAGGACTCCAGCCCATCAGTTAACATCTTGTGCAGTGAAAAGCTGCATGTTTGTAATTATCTAATCCATCATTAAGACGTTTTAACTTTTTAAAATCATTGCTTCAGTCCTCTATCCATATTAAACATTTCAGTGAAACATTCTGATGGCACCCATTCACTGCAGAGGATCTATTGATGAGCAAGTGATATAATCCTAAATTTCTCCAAATCTGTTGCGATGAAGAAACAAACTAATCTGTGTCTTGGATGGATTGAGAGTGTACATTTTCAGTTTTGGGTGAACTTTTCCTTGAACTGTTGTATTGTGCAAGTGTGGTTTGAGGTTTGCCATTGAAGTCAAGCCACAGTGAGGTCTATGCAAACAGTGCTTTCTTTCCTCTCTATAGCTTTGGAGCAGTTTACATGGTCACAGCCTTGTGAAATTTATTCTTTATTGTGGCCAAGGATTAAACGGGCATATTAAGCATCCCAAGCTGGGAATTCTAGGACAAGCAAGATGAATTGTCCATTGTGGAGGTAATTAGTAAGGAGCAAGAAGCATGCTTTTTGTTTGTTATGAGCTGTGTGCAGACTCTCTTTTAGATTTGTTTTAGGGTAAATTGTTTTTTTTTTTCTCTAACCTCTTAGAGAATGTTGAAAAATAACAATTATGACTTCCTTGACCATGCTGGTTGTTTTTATCTGAACTCTGGTATATTTTGAATGTGTTGAAGGCTGTTTTCACACTTGGTTTGATTGTTTGATTCAACCCTTCTGCTTTCACACTAGTTTTGGGTCAGAATCGTGGTATGTTTGCATTTACAATGCAAGTGTTCGCAGCAACTGTGTACCGCTACAAAGCATAACTCTTTCCCCACTACAAATTATTTTTTGGTAACACTTCAACCTGACACCTTTTATATATTATAAAGGTATTTATAATGTACATTGTAAAGCATTCTGTATTTTTATAAATAATTGTAACCAAAATTAAAATCTAATATTTGCAGATTCCTTGTTACATCTAAAATGAGTTGTTTTAATACATAATATTTTGAAAAAAGTGTAACAATGAATAGGTAAGTATTGTGGTTACATTTATTCATGAGGTCATACAATGCATTTTAAGGTATGTGTGTGTGTGTGTGTGTGTGTATATATATGCGCTTCAGGTAACGTGTTACTGATTTTACCTCCTGAAATGTCTCTTCAGACTGTTGAAAAACAATTTTGGATATTTTACACTAACTATTAGGTTGGGCTTGTCTGTGTGTTTAACCGCAAGCGTACACGTTTACCTCATACCATTTATTACTGATTTCTTACGCCGAGTCTAGTTTTCACCTCAGGCCCAGCTACACTAAACAAAAACCAAGAGAATTTCAGATTAGGATCAAATGATGGGAACAAGCAGTCCTAGTCGCCGAAAGAAAGAAAAAAACTCAACGACATAGGACAATAATATTTGCAGATTCCTTGTTACATCTAAAATGAGTTGTTTTAATACATAATATTTTGAAAAAAGTGTAACAATGAATAGGTAAGTATTGTGGTTACATTTATTCATGAGGTCATACAATGCATTTTAAGGTATGTGTGTGTGTGTGTATGTATATATATGCGCTTCAGGTAACGTGTTACTGATTTTACCTCCTGAAATGTCTCTTCAGACTGTTGAAAAACAATTTTGGATATTTTACACTAACTATTAGGTTGGGCTTGTCTGTGTGTTTAACCGCAAGCGTACACGTTTACCTCATACCATTTATTACTGATTTCTTACGCCGAGTCTAGTTTTCACCTCAGGCCCAGCTACACTAAACAAAAACCAAGAGAATTTCAGATTAGGATCAAATGATGGGAACAAGCAGTCCTAGTCGCCGAAAGAAAGAAAAAAACTCAACGACATAGGACATATTCAGTATTAAATATCAGGAAAGTGTGTGTATGGGGTGGGGGGGATGAAGAAAAAAACAATGGAAGTGTTAACGCATTTGTACTTATTCAGTAACTATGAGTGAATGCACTTTTTTTTTTTTTTAGGGAACTGATTGCTCTTTGTAAAGGAATATTAATTGATGTGTAAAGGAATAATTGATGTGTAAGATGTGATAAATTACTTGGAAAAAAAAAAGGCAAATGCTGTTTGGTTTATCCTTTTGGCTTTCTACAGTTTATATTCTCAGTTCTTCGACAACACGCTCAGCTGACATAAATATGCAATAAAATACATCAGCACTAACTCGAGAAACCTTTGTGAAAATCAAAACCGTCTCACTTTGCCTAAAG